TTGTGAAAGCTAAGAGTGCAAAAGTGAAATGTCAAATTCTATAGTGGCATAAGTTTTTGAAACAAATATAGTGGCATAAGTAAAGTGGGCAAAAACTAGAGTGGCAAAAACAAAGTTTTCCTAATTCCTTGTGTGTACATCCATTTACATTTTCGGTAGCATCTACACATCTCCATACACTATATCAGAAAAATAATCATGAAACATTCCACCTTTGGTATATTCAACCAACCAAACACATACATCCAGAACCGTTTCATTATACTTCACCTGATGCCTCCAACTCGAACGGGACCTACAGAATGCTGTGCAGCATATATCAACACAAAATCTTACCGGGCATATGTACCGGCCACTAGGAACACACTAGCAAAAAACCCCTGCCGCCGTGCACACAAAGTTTCACACACCTCACGAAAACAAAAACAAAAAGGCCAAAGCAATCGCATGCTAGCTAGACTGCTAGCTGGTGGTCTCGAAGTGGCCGAGCCTGTTCGCCGCCAGCTTGGTCCGGTACGCCGAGGCCTTGTACTCTCGCCATGTGAACTCCCTGTACCGGCTGCGCCCGCCTTCCCCGACGAGCTGCCGCAGCGGCGCCAGCGTCTCCCGCGGCGCCGGGCCGCCGAAGAAGATCACCGACACCCGCGGCCGGACGCTGTTCACCATCACCCGGTGCCTCACGCTCCGGAACCTCCCGTTCGTCAGTACCTGCGCGTACATTTACTCGTATCATCAGCAAATCATCGAACAAACAAGGCATATGGAACAGCTGGGCCTTTTCGAAAAAAAAATGGAACAGCTGGGATTTACACATGAGAACGAAACAAAAGGCTTGCCATCTATGATCCTTTTTTTCCCCTTCTTCTCAAAGCTTGTATACCCTAGAGCAACTCCAGCAGAGTAACCATATCTGCTGGATCGTCCGGAAAAGGTCACTCTAGCAGAGTTGTCATCCCGCTTTTGATCGCCATAATTTTGAAAGAGCGTTCCGAAACGAATCCGCAAGGCTTTATATTTGACGTTTGTGGGGGGTACAGAAAACGGCTTCACAATTGGCAGTGTCAACTCTATGTGCCGCCATCATCATGGTCATCATTGTACTATGTGTCCTGAGATTTCACGTGTAGGCAAGCGTGCCGTGTGTCCGTACAATTACCGGTGTCAACTCTCCGTGCCGCCACCATCATTGTACTATTATCTGTACTGGGAATTAATCGTGTAGGATTGCTAGCTGTATGCTTTACATGATATATGGTATTGAATAATGGCTTCGAGATTCCGCTGTTCGACAAAACTGACTAGGCATGGACATCATGGTTCCCTCTAAGGCCGGGATTTCCATGTGGAAATGGAGAAATGACACTTTGACACCCACACGATCCACAGTAGCACGGCCCCATCCCATCCCAATGGGACAGCTGAACATCGTGCTAAGCAATTTTTTATTTTATTACTCTAAAAAGTAGTAGCAATACTGAGAAAGCATTTTTGTGTAGTACCTGCAAGGCGTCGCCGACGTTGACGAAGAAGGAGGTCTGGTCCGGCGGCACGGAGACCCAGGCGCCGTCGCGCAGCGCGATCTCGAGGCCGGAGGTGGCGTTGGAGCGGAGCACCGAGATGATCTGGGGGTCGGTGTGCTCGCCGAACCCAGTGACCCTGCCGCCGCCGCCGTGCTGCTGCTGCAGGAGCTTCAGCTCGGGGCGCGGTGGGTAGTGGTTCACCCGCAGCATCGAGTCGCTTTCCTTGTGCAGGACCAGCCTCGTGAACGCGTCCCTGTCTTCCATACGCAGGCCCTCCGCCATCAGCTCCAGCACCTGGCAGGTCATCCTCCTCACGGCCACCGTGTACTCGTTCAGAAGGTCGCTGCGACACAAGAAGAAGGAAAAAACCAACTCCTGTGAGTGTCTGTGACTCAGTGCAGCATGATTTGACCTTTGCTCCAAAGACAGGCTTTAATTAATTTTGCTACAAGCTACTAAAGTATAACACGTTTTGTGTAACATAAACGTTTTGCATACGGCGTCACATTGTAATTAGTAGGAGTAACTTCTAGCCCAACTTATAACAGATGTCGCTGGCACTTCTTCTCGACGTTTCGGTGCCATGCCATGCCATGCATGCGAGCGATTAGTAGTGGACACGGAAAAGAGGATTCTCGATGAAGATGGCGGGAAAGGTGTCATTATTCAAGGCCAACTCGACGTAGGCCACGAAACTGGGGGCTGCACACGTGCACGTGCACGCAGGACGGCGAAAAAGAGAAGAAAGGAAAAGAAAGACTCAATCGATGGAACAACGCGAAAACAAAGCTTCCAACAGTGGCCGGCCGGCAAGCCAGCCAGCTGAAAGTTTTATATCATTTCCACCTTTCTGTAAAAAAAACGTTTCTGGAAAAATAAGAAGGAAGCTGGATAAGAACAGTGAGTAAGCGAGCGACTGATGAGCTGCTTAGCAAAGGTGACACGTAGGCACCTAACCGGTTATGCCACCGTGATACTACTGCAACATAGTATTATTAATAATATACATACTACTCCCTCCGTTCCTAAATAATTGTCTTTCTAGCTATCTCAAATGAACTATAACATACGGATGTATGTAGACATGTTTTAGAGTGTAGATTCACTCATTTTACTCCGTATGTAGTCATTTTTTGAAATCTCTAGAAAGACAATTATTTAGGAACGGAGGGAGTATACTGTAGTACTTGGCAGAGCTAGAAATGCAGATTCTCTACTGTGTTCATGCAGGAATCGCACGTGCTATTTGCGACAATCTATTCACTAGCCAGCCGTCTTGTA